AATCTGCCCTGATATTGGCCACTTCGTCAATTCATGAACAACGCCGGCCTTTAGAGGTGATCTCACAACCCGCTCTCTGTCTTCCCTCTTTCCCCTGTCCTCGACTCTCTTTGGCTAGCTGATAGTCTTACAAAACCCACAACAAAAGCAAAGCCTACTGCTGGTGAGTTGATTCTGATTCATACATGGCAATCTTATTGGACAGAGTCAAACTACTGGTGACGTTAGTGGGTTACACATTGGTTACTAACCACCAGGTCAGCAGTTAGAAACAATCGAATGCTCTGCGGGAGAAAGATGAGGCTGTCAACTCCAATAAAGACCTACAGTCTTGTAACCTCACAACCACAGATTACTGCGGTTGTCATGTGCCATAGAATATGTTTCAACTCACAGTGACCGGCCCTACGTACAGCAGAGTGAAACACTCCCTGGGACTGCGCCATCCTCAATCGTTAGGTTTCAGACCATGACCGCAACCATTGTGCCAACTGATTTTTCAAGGGTCTTTCTCTTTTTCCCCTGACCCTATGTTTTACCAAGCATGACATACTTCTCCAGAGTCTTGTCTTTCCTGATAGCTTATCCAAAATACAGGAACTTTCATCATCCTCACTTCTAAGGAGCATTCTGGCTGCACTTCTAAGGCAGAGTTATTGCTTATCTTGAAGTCCCTTGTATTTTCAATGCCCTTCATCCACATTGTACTTAAAAGACATCAATTATTCTGTAATCTTCCTTATTGTTTAGCTTTTACACACACACAGGTAATTGAATATGCCTTGATTTGGCGGGGACACCTTAGTCCTTCCTTAGAGTGACATCTTGTCAACTTCAATCTTCTCCTCATTTATCATGGTTACTTTCTGGTCCAGTTGTGAATAATGTTTCCTTCTTTATGTTGAGGTTTAATCTTTGATTTTCATTGATCAGTAAATGCCTCATGTCCTTTTCACTGTCAACAAGTAAGGTTGCGTCATCTGCATATCGGAGGCTGTTGGAAAGTCTTCTAACCATCCTGAGCCCTTGTTCTTCCTCCTCCAGTCCAGTTTCTCAGATTATTTGCTGAACACACACAGGGAACAAGAATGATGGAAGAATACAACCCTGTTGATGGACACCTTTCCTGATTTGAAACCACAAAATACACCCAGCTTCGTTCAAATGACTATCTTTTGGGTGTATGTACATATTCAACTGGAGCACAGTTACATTTCCTGGAATTCTCATTCTTCACAATGTTACCTATAGTTAGTTATGATCCACACAATCAAATACTTTTGCATAGTCAATAAAACACAAGTGGACATCTTTCTGGCATTGTTCACTTTCAGCCTAGACACATCTGATGTCAACAATGAGATCCTTTGTTCCCTGTCCTGTTCTGAATCCAGCCTGAACTTCGGGCAGTTTCCTGTCAGTATACTGCTACAACCATTTTAAAATTATCATTAGTAAAATTTTAATTGTATGTTATTTTAGTTCTATTGTTAGATAATCTTTACTATCTGTTGGATCACTTAATAACACTAACTATTTAGAAACTTCTATGTATCAGGCAAGGTGCTATAGCTTACTGATACTATCTCTGATCCTCCTATTCATGTGAAAGAATATCTTTTATTCCCAAACCGACAGTAAGACAATTAAAGTTCAGGACATGAAATGTGAGGGGGCTTCCCAAAGCTTGTGGAAAAATTCATGATCTTTTACTTCCATTTGTACAGAATTTTTAAAAATCCCCCTCAAATTTTGGCCAAAATCCTACAGCTTTGAAGTCACACCATCAAGATTAAATTCAGTTTCATCTAACTCCAAAGAAACTGCTTCTTGCCACTGTACACTGACAGTTAAAAATACTGTTATTTAGAGAGAACTACACATCTGAACTATTACTAGTGTGTATAGCTTGCAATCTGAATGTTTACCATGACCCAGTTTATTATGAAAATATTTTGCATAGTTGCACTATGTTTTTCATCTTTAAATAGTTTTTGAGGAAACAAAGAATCATTTACTCATTTGTTGTCTGTAGCACCTTTTACAGTGGTTGTGGAAAACCCAGTGATGACTTCTACGTTGAAATTCAACAGCAAAGCTTTGACTACAGGTCTGCAGCTCCCGCCTCCCTTTCCCAAGGGCATGGGTCACAAGCTCTCTGTATCATCTATATGGTTGTTCAGTGTAAGCCACAAATATTGCCTGGAGTTGAAGCCAAAGAACATGACTCATATTGTTCTAGGGACTCTTTGGGCCTCAAAATCTTATCAATTTACAAGAGATTGTAAACAATTTCCTTAAAGTGCATGTATTAGTAGTACATTGATAATATTTAGATCACTAATATTTTAATTAAATAAGGCTGTCTGCCATCTAACCTGGATTTGTGCTTAGATATTTCTGCTTAATCCATCCATCCACAAACAATGGTTGAACATTGAGTCAAGATTTTAAAAATAACTGCAAATACTTTGTAACTCACACAATGACAATTCTGTTACCAGGAGGTTAGGTTCATGGCAGCTGAAAAGAAATCTTAAAACGTCCTCCTAGATCTTGCTGCAGAAATGGTTGTCACTGTTGTTAATTCTTAGTCCTTGTTAAAATTGTATAAAAGAAATAAAAATGCCCCAAACCTATTAAAAAACAAAGAACTGAAGGACTCGTTAACAGAATGAGATTTTAATAAATTTCTGGAATGAACAAAAGAGAAATACTGGTCTTCAGTACTTATTTCATAAAATTCTGTGTTTAAGATTGGCATTAAAGTTTTAAAGTGTGTGAAGAATTTGTGACATTTAAACATTACTGAAATTAGTTAATGCATTTTGAAAAATGTTTCTATAAGCATTATAAATATAAAATATATAATCATTGTCAAATGTTATTATTCTGATATAAATTAGCAGAATAAGTTGTTAAAATGAGGTAGTATTAAAATAAAAATCCAAAATAGTGTATGAAATGAAAAATAAATAATGAAAAATTAAAAATAATATTTTTAGATTATTTTTAAAGCTTTATCTTAAAAAGAGCCCAATGTGCTTCAAAGGTTTCATTACTGTATGAAAATGTATATAATTTCCAGTGTTGGAAAAGCTCTTTCTTATCCTACACTAGAATGGAAGTATTTGAAGAGTCAGCTATATACTAACTAAATATTTTCTTCGGATTATTAGAAAAAAATACTCTCACTTTTTATTTGATAACTTTGTAGAGACATTTTTAATTAACCTCCCCAACCACAGGTTGAGCCCTGGTGGTAGTGACTATGCACTGGGTTTTGATCTGCAAGGTCTGCAGGTCAAAACATAGGTTTTATTTCAAAGAAAGTATTTTGCATATCCATTTTCATGATCCTCAGTCTTTATTTCCTTCATCTATTCATGGAGAGTCTCCTGTACAGAATTTCCTGAATTAATTTCAGTGCCACCAGGTTTACAGTCTAACTTTTTGGATATCCTCCACCTATTTGTCTTAACTCAATATTTTTTCTCCATTAATCACGTGAGGCAGTCATGAGGGAGGATGATAAAATCTTGAATAATTTACATTAGAAAAATGTCAATCTGACTCCAGGTTATCGTTTAAGATAATGCCACTATCACTGTTTTCCACTGCTTTGGAGAGAGAGTGGTGGGGCGGAAATTGGCACAGCATGCAGCTCAGGCAAGGGTGCACGGCACCTGAGTCTCTCTGGAAACAGTGGACAATAGGTGGGAGGGAGACGCATGATGTTGTCTAGATGTCACCAGCAAGCGAGTTTTGATTTACACTGACCTCTGGACATCTTTTTGACCTAATGCCTAGGTTTGAGATTTGAAGAGCATTGTCTTAGTTCTGGGAATTACGGCCTGTCTTCCTCTCCATTAACAGATTCCATTCTCTAATAAGGCAATGAGTTGTGATGAGGAAACTGGTTTACACTCCTTCCTTTCATCTTGATATGACAAAAGACCCAGGAGCAATAGAAACTTCAGGATGAATGTCTCAGTTTTCTCTAGTTATGCAATGTGCTTCCTTTTTCAGGCTGATGTCAACCAGAAACACAGGTGCGGGATTTTCCAAAATGTGGTAAGTGTTTACCATTGGAGGAAGAGTGGATGAGACTCTGTGTTCAACCCCCTGCTCCATCAGTTGTATCAATTTGCATATTTGCACAAGAAGAAGTAAGAGACACCTAACCATTCATGTCTGTTAGTGTTTTAGAAATTTAAAAAAATGTTGGTGTGAGAAAAATGGACCCATATCCTCAACAACATTTTCCTGGGCAAATTGCTCATTTCCTATAGCTGGGGTAGGTTATGTCTTTAGGATTGCCCTTGTGATTCACACGGTCTTGGCAGAAGGTGCTTAGATGGCTTTCCAAAGTGAGGCAAACTCAGGGTCAAGGTCCTTGACTTGTTCTGAAAACTCTTCATTGCCTTATCCCCCTATCTGGTCCTGCACATACTCCCAGTTAGGAATCTGCCATGTTTCCTGGCCTCTCTCTAGCAATGGCCTGTGTGTGCCTTGGCTGTTTCCGAAGCCCTGCCTTTCCTCCCTAACTTACCTCCTGTCTTGTTTTCTAGTCCCTTGCTTCATCTCTCCTTCTTTCCCTCTCTCCTTTTCTCCGCTGCATCCCCCCACCAGGCCCCCCTCCCTCTTTCTTTCATGTGTCAAAAGGCAAATGACCAATTCTCTGATCTTCTGCCAACGTGGGAGATAATGCCCTCAGGAAAACAACATTTACAGTCTACCGCTTTAAACAAGCAATGGAGGCGTTGTTTTGACCCAAGACCATCTCCTTTGGACTAAAGAATGTGCGATGCTGGCCCTGTCCTTGAACAGAAAACAGCTCAAGCAAAATAGGGATAAGAAATGAACCATAAGCCAACACGTGCACCCTGTAAAAGTGGTTCCGAGAGATAGAACTTCAAATTATTTCCTTCCCAACTTCCATACGCATATCGTATTCTCTGCAACTCCACCAAACAACAGAAGCAACTATGTTTATGACGATGTGCTTTCTTATCTGGAATCTTGCTGTCTGCTGTCCCCTACCAGTCCCTTCTACAGGACACGGTTCTCTCGGCAACGCAGAATTGCTACTTGCAAAGGTAACAAATCTCTTTCCGTTTTTTTCCTTAATTAAGCACATTTTTTTTTCATTTAATAGTCATGTTTGTGGGCTTTCTTTGTAGCCATCTTTAAAAGCCCGTTATCAACTTCCCTTGAGACTAACACACGTGCCGAAGAGGAGCTGTCCACTCCTGAGGAACACGCTCCAGCACGTGCAGGATCCTGGGGATCTAGAAGCAAAAGGCCGCCTGGATGCTGAAACCTTACACCTGAAGAAGCAGCCCAGGTGCGGGGTCCCAGATATCGTGGAGTATAATTTTTTCCCTAAGAAAGTGAAATGGCTGACTTACAACTTGACCTACAGGTTAAAAAAAAGTCCCTCATAGTTTTTCTTTTGCCAAATATGTGATGTTACAGCAGGCAGGATCTCCTGGCGCTTTCATTTCCTATATCGATGTAGGTCGGGGTGATGGAGTATCCCGAGCTCTCCTAGTCAGAAGGCCAAGACTCCAGTCCCAGGTCCAGCTCTTTCTCTTTTTGTGGTTTTGAGGCAGTTTCTCAATATCATTTAACCTCTTTTTCTATAAAAGGATTGGGTTAGATAATATCCACAGGTCCCTGCAGGGTTTTAAAATCTGTTATTACCAAATCATAATTTTGTGTCTTTTAAGCCAGGCTTTATTTCTGTGACTTGAATATTGACTTAGTATATTTCTTCTAGGTGGTTTAAAATATCTTAGAAATAATAAAATTTTAAAAATGAAATATGATATAGAGCTTTTATGTTCTTTAGGTAATTATTTCAAATGAGAATTCATTTTTTTTAAAAAGCTAGAAATAATTGTGTTTCATTTGAGTAATAATTGTCTTTCTTGAGGCCAAATTCACTGCCATTGAGTGGATTCTGACTCATAGTGGGTAACGCTGTAGGGCAGAGTTTAACTGTGGGTTTCTATTACCATAGGAGTAGAGAGCCTCGTCTTTCTCTCAGGGCTAGTGGTTTTGAACAGCTGAGTTTATGGTTAGCGGCCCCGAGCATAACCATGACACCAGCGGGCTCCTCTTTCAGCAACAGTCATCTCCCTGGACATCTAGAAAGTTCTCAAAGAACACAGGTCTAACTGATTTCATACGGGAGCTAGCTGATCCCCCTTCCAAATAATCAGCTCAAGTAGAGTGAAGGGTTAATGCAAGAGAATTCCAGGAAGAAACCTGTAGATAATTGTGTGCTAAGCCTGCCTTTTGTTGATTTTCATTTATTTATTCATCTGTTCATCCCCTTATTTTAATTTATCACTTTATTAAATGTTTTTGATCCACTCATCCTTTTCTTTGTGTTCATTTACTTACTAATTTATTTCCCTACTAAACACATCATAATCAAGCACCTAACACGTGACAGCGATAGGTCTTATCTCTGGGAATATAAGATCAAGATGAAACACTTTGCTCTGTCTCAAGTATAACAAAAAATATTTCTTAAAAACATTTTTTTAAAGATATTTCTCTCCTAGAGAATGCCTTTTATTTATTTATTTTAAAAATCATTTTATTGAGGGCTCGTACAACTCTTATCACAATCCATACATGCATCCATTGTGTCAAGCACATTTGTTGCCATCATCATTCTCAAAACATTTTCTTTCTACTTGAGCCCTTGGTATCAGCTCCTCATTTTTTCCTTCCCTCCCCTCCCCCTCCCTCATGAACCCTTGAAATTTATAAATTATTATTTTGTCATATCTTACACTGCCCAAAGTCTCCCTTCCCCCACTTTTCTGAGAATACCCTTTAAAGTGAAATCTCATTATTAATTCTGCTACATAGAAATTTAAATAATTTATATAGTTTACCTCAATATTATTTAGCAAAATATTGGAAAGAGGACTTTAATGTATTTTTGTGCTAATGTTTTTTGTTTTGCTTTTAAAGCAAATCAAGTTGGAGAACCGTAGCTAATTCTTTCCAAGTATTTGTGAACTTAATGCTTCCTTCACATACTCTCACAATTATATTTGTTTAATGTTGTTGCTCAAAATCCTGGGACCACACCATCCTAGTTTATCATTCACTGGCATGTAGAGTAGACTGGATGCCAATTTATTAGTTCTACTCAATTATACCTGCATTTATATGCCATACACCCAGATGTCATTAAAATAACATTCACATATCTTATATTAAACTGAATGGCAACACTTCATCTCGCATACTTTGGACATATTATTAGGAGAGACTAGTCTCTGGAGAAGAACATCATGCTTGGTTAAGCAGAGGGTCAGCAACACAGAGGAAGACCCTCAATGCGGTGGACTAATGGTGGCTGTAACCCTGGGCTGGAATTTGACAGACAAAGATCCGGAGGCTAATGCAGGACGGGCAATGTGTCCTGGTGTTGGACATAGGAGTTCTAGGAGTCAAAACTGACTTGATGGCACCTAGCGAAAACAACACATTAGTCTCTCAATTTGGGGTGATGATGGTGCAACTTTGATTTTTCTTTTTAAGCAAGAACACTTGTAAACATCAAAGTTAGGCAGCTGATTTGAAGAAGGCTATGGGTGACAGTGAAAGCCCCAAATTCATTTGCATAGTCCCCACGTGGATTAAGCTTCTGATGGATCCCCTCTGACCATTGACCAGGATATAAATAGCTTTGCTGTCAGAGGGCTTTGGAAAGATAATTACCCCAGACAGTTAGATTAAAATTTAACACATCATTTGATCTCTTTTGACCCATTTTAAATTTGGGCTAGTTCTTAATATGTTCTGCTTTCTTTTTGATTGAGGTTTTTCTCGGCTTTTATTTTGTCATTGTTGCTGCGTTATTTGTTTTCCTTTTTGTTTTGTATGCTTTTCAGTCTACAGGTAAATCGATATAGGTAAATCTATAAAGACAGTAACTGGATTACTAGTTTATTGGAGGTGTGGCAGGGGCAGTGGGGAGCTGATAACAATGAGCACAAGAAAGAAGAAAATGTTCTAAAATTGATTGTATTATGATTGCATAACTCTTTTTCATATGATTGAACTATTGAATGGTATGATATGTGAGTTATATGTCAATAAAACTGTTAAAAAGTAAAGTATGGGGGACTTCCGGGAAGATGGCGACGGAGTGACACGTACCAGAGGGACTCCGCAGAATCCAGCCCAGGAGAGCTGCTTAGAGGGAACTTTAACACAACT